AGATAAAACCACACAGCTTGCCATTGTAAGTGCTGTCTGACAAGCTTCCCACTGCTTGGCCAGCTGGGACCATCCTCTACATTAGGGTTAGTTGTTAAGTTGCAGGTGGTACTTTCACACAACTTGTGTTCCTGATGTCCCCATGTACTGGAGTTGTCATTTAGTACTACTACTGACTGTAGTCTTGAAGCAATGATTTTGTTTTAGAAAATTTACATTCAAACTTGCTTTGGGGAGGAAAAACTTAATTTTATCAGGGGTAGGTAGCATTTGTCGTGAATTTCATCTTAGGCTTTATGGGTAGGGATTTGGGGATTTAGGGTTAGTCATAATTTAAAGCATTTTCCTCTTTTAGAGTCAGTTTTTTATGGTTTGGATTAGGCCTAGGAGTCTAGACTGCATTCCAAGCTGTATTTTTAAAAGGATCTTGAGGTTAAAGTATTTGGTTGATGATAGTCATAGTTTGAGCATGTGGTTATTTGATTCAGGTTAGCTATCATTTGAAAATTTAAACCTTAGTAGTTAAGGTTAGTTTTTTGGTCTTCGTTAACTGTACAGGCTGGGCTAATACATAATTACATGGAGTCCTGTAGCTCAGTGGTAAGAGCACTTGCCTCGTGAGCGAAAGACCTGGGTTTGATTCCTGGTAGGGCGAAACGTTGGGCAAGTTTCCTTACCCCACACGCCTCTGTTTACCTAGCAGTAAGTTGTTTACCTAGCAGTAAATTGGATTATTGTTATAATATTTAGAAAGAGTTTTCTACGTTTTATGAATTTAATGTTTACCAGGTTAATACCTGTATTAGAGTCCAAATTGTAGAGGTTCAAGAGTTCAACAGCTGCTTTTGGGGGCCATAAACTATTTTTTAATTAAGTGAAGGTTTTGTGGTCCCAAAGCCAGCAGGTCCCAAAGGGTTATTCTGTTTTGTATGTTTAACACTGTTACCATCTATCTGCCTGGTTTGGAGTTCAGGTATTCATCTTGTGGAGTCCTGTAACTCAGTGGTTAGAGCACTCCTCTTGCAAGCGAGAGACCTGGGTTCGATTCCCAGCGGGGTGAAACCTTGAGCAAGTTTCCTTACTCCACACGCCTGATAGTAATCCCTAAAGAAAAAAAACTAATAATTTGGTCACTCAATCCACGACAGTTTGTGGGATACTGCTGTGCGCAATTGGCTGCCACGTTTGGCCCACAAATATACAGTCAATTCACTTTACAGTATATTCTGTGAAGTGCTTTGAGATGTCTAGAAGATGTGAAAAGCGCTATATCAAATACAAGGATTATTATTGTTATCCCAAAGGTGCAGTCTCCTGTGCAGAAGATATTTATTTCTGTAATCTAAATTACTATTCAATTAAAATAATTTTAAAAAATTAAAGAAACTAAAGAATTAAAATAAAAAATAATTAAAAATAAACGGGTGTGAAGTGATTTGTACATGAGCATGAAGATCTTGAAATGGATTAGTTCTGCAATCTAATGATGCCTAACGAGAACTGAGATGATGGACCTGTGGAGTTGGGGTGATGGGGGTGGAGTTAGGATAATTGGGGATAGAGTTAGAGTTCTGGGGATGGAGTTAGGATGATGGCAGTGAGGAGTGAAGGTGAAGGGGGGAGTTGGGATGATGGGGGTGGAGTTAAGGTGATGGGGGTGGAGTTGTGGTGATAGGGGTCTGGAGTTGGATTGATGGCAGTGTGGAGTTGGGGTGATGGAGGTGGAGTTTGTGATTGGGGGGTGGAGTTGGGGTCATGGGGATGTAGTTGGTGATGGAAGGTGGAGTTGGGGTGATGAGGGGTGGACTTGTGGTAATGGGGGTGGAGTTGATGATGGGGTTGGAGTTCGGTTGATGGGGGTGGAGTTGGGGTGATCACAGGTGGAGTTGGAGTAATGGGAGGGTGGAATTGGTGATGGGGGTGGAGATGGGGTGATGGGGGATGGAGTTCGTGAGGGAATGGAGGTGATGATGGTGTGGAGTTGATGATGGGGATGGAGTTCGGGTGATGACCGGTGGAGTTGGGGTAATTGAGGGGTGTAGTTGGTGATGGGGGTGGAGTTGGGATGATGGGGCTGGAGTTGGTGATGGGGTGGAGATGGGGTGATGGTGGTGGAGTTGTGGTGATGGAAAGTGGAATTGTGGTGATGGGGGTGGAGTTAGGATGATGGAGGTGAGGAGTTAGAATGATGGGGGTGGAGTTAGGTGATGGGGGGTGGAGTTGGTGATGGAGGTGGAGTTGGGGGAATGGAGGTGGTGATGATGTGGAGTTTGGATGATAGGGATGGAGTTCGGGTGATGGATTGGGGTAATTGGGGGGTGTAGTTGGCGATGGGGGTGGAGTTGGGATGATGAGGATGGAGTTGGTGATGGAAAGTGGAATTGTGGTTATGGAGGTGAGGAGTTAGTATGATGGAGGTGAGGAGTTAGAATGATGGGGGGTGGAGATGGGGTGGAGTTGGTGCGGGGGTGGAGTTGGGGTAATGGGGATGGAGTTAGAATGATGGAGGTGAGTTAGAGTGATGGGGAATGGAGTTGGTGATGGGGGGTGGAATTGAGGTGATGGGGGTAGAGTTGGAATGACGGGGTGGAGTTGGGGTGGAGTTGGGCTGATGAGGTGGAGTTGGTGATGGGGTAGAGTTGGGGTTATGGGGGTGGAGTTGTGGTGATGGGGGTGGAGTTAGGAAAATGAGGGTGAGTTAAAGTGATGGGGAGTGTTGTTGGTGATGGGGTGTGGAGTTGGTAATGGGGTGGAATTGGATGTACTTGGTGATGGGGTGGAGTTGGGGTGATGGGGTGGAGTTGGGGTGATGGGGTGGAGTTGGGGTAATGGGGTGGAGTTGGGGTGATGGGGTGGAGTTGGGGTGATGGGGTGGAGTTGGGGTAATGGGGTGGAGTTGGGGTGATGGGGTGGAGTTGGGGTGGAGTTGGGGTGATGGGGTGGAGTTGGGGTGATGGGGTGGAGTTGGGGTGATGGGGTGGAGTTGGGGTGATGGGGTGGAGTTGGGGTGATGGGGTGGAGTTGGGGTGATGGGGTGGAGTTGGGGTGATGGGGTGGAGTTGGGGTGGGGTGGAGTTGGGGTGATGGGGTGGAGTTGGGTGATGGGGTGGAGTTGGGGTGGTGATGGGGTGGAGTTGGGGTGGTGATGGGGTGGAGTTGGGGTGGAGTTGGGGTGATGGGGTGGAGTTGGGGTGATGGGGTGGAGTTGGGGTGATGGGGTGGAGTTGGGGTGATGGGGTGGAGTTGGGGTGATGGGGGGGGTGGACGGCTGTGATGGGGGTATGGAGTTGGCGGTGATGGGTGTGTGGAGTTTGGTGCGGGTGAGAATACGGGTGGAGGAGACGTGAATGGTGGACCTGGGAAACCAGGCAGCAGATAGGACATTGGAGAATATTATGTCAAACTTGCATAAGTCATATTGTTGAATGCTAATTAATAAATAAGGACCAATTGACTAAAACCAATGGAAGGTGAACAGGAGGGAGAGAAAGTAGGAAGCAGGGAGAACTGAGTAGAGGGTGTTTGGTGTGATTGTGTAACTGGAGACCAAAAATAAGAGTATTCTACACATTTTTTTTGTTGAGAACATAACAGTATCATATATGACTCATGTAAAGTTATGTACAAGTCAGATTTTATATGACTTATACATAACAAAAACACAAGGACTGAACTGGCTGGAGACATTAAGGCAAGGTTTCAAAATAGAATTTTTCAGGCACATCATTTTTCAAAACAGCCAATTTCCTGTACTTTTCAACCTGTTTTATTAGCTGTAAATGTTTTATTTGAACGTTCCTGTTGCCTTCTCTAATTTTATTGTATTTTTCTTGCAAATGATACAAATGTGTGAATTATTTTAGAGTTGAAAGGATATCTTAAGAGTCTATTCAGTCATAAATCGATGTATTATACTTCTACTTTACACCAATCTTTTGGCTGTTGCGGGCTGGATTCCCCATTTGAGAAAGGCCCCTGGGCCGTTTAAGCAATATTTTGTGTTTCCGGAATGCCTGGAAGTGTGGTCAAAGAGTGAGATCTTGAGGTGCCTTGAAAGAGGGTTGGGAGGAAGCAAGTAGGAGGTACTCCAGGAATGGAACAGAGAGTGGGGGCAAAATGGTGATGGTGGGGCAGATGGGGTGGGGGGATATGAAGCAAGGTGTTTGCTGGGGTCGGGAGGTCGCAGAGGTGGGTCGGTAACCCGAGGACACCGATTTAAAATAGTTGTTAAAAGAAACAGATGGGAGGTGAGGAGAAATGTTTTCACACAGTGAGTTGTTTGGATCTGGAATGCATTGCCTGAAAGGGTGGTGGAAGCTGATTCAATAACAACTTTTAAGAGAGAAGTAGATAATTATTTGGGGAGGACAAGTTTGCAGGGCTATGGGGAGAGAGCGGGAGAGTGGGATTGAATTGGATAGCTCTTTTCAAGGAGCCGGCACAGACATGAGGGGCCTAATGGCCTCCTTCTGTGCTGTATATTTCTATGATTCTATGAGATAGGGTGGGAAGTGGGTGGCGGATAAAGGACATAAGGAAGATTTTCACTGGGAAAAGAAGAAGCTTTCTGTGAGGAAACTGCACGGCACTTGTCCTTGTTGCCCCCCCGCGGTGACCAATTATTATTATTATTATTATTATCTGTCCTGACAATGAACCTCAAAATGCTGACCTCACTTCTCTCTTTCAATCACTCTCCCTTCTCTATCTCACGATACTCTCCCTCTTTCACACACACTCTCTCAATTACTCTCTCTCCCCTCACATTCACAATTACTCTCTCGCTTTGCTTTGTCCCTCCCTCTCTATTTCTTTCTCTCCCACTTTCCCTCACATTCTCTCTCCCTCTCTCTCAATCACTCTATCAATCACCCACTCTCAATCTCCTCTCTCTCTCCCCCTCTTTCTCTGACACACCTCACACGCCCTCTCACACAGTCTCGCTCTCTTTCACACCCCTCCCCCCATCTCACACATACACACTCTCCACTCTCGCTCCACTTCACTCCTCTTTCAATCCCTCTCTCTCCCAATCAGTCGTGCGGGTCACTATGTGCAGCGGCTGAAGCCGGCGGTTGCTCAGGACGTGGTGGATAAGGTGACGCGCTTTACTGGCTCCGAGTCGAAGCTTTTCTCGCTGCTGCTTCAAACGGAATAATATGCGCTCAGTAACAGCAGCTCCTGAAACCACCACAGGCTCCAGGCACGACATGTGGAGAGTTTCCATTCATAATAACTGTGACCTGCCCCCCCTTTCCTCTCTCTCAGCCCCCCATTTTCCTCTCTCTCAGCCACTATTGTGAATGATGATAATGATTATCAAAAGCTAAAAGCCACTATTCAGTAATCTTATCTGATTATAATGTTTATATCTCCGAAGACCTTTGAGATTATCAGAATGTCTTTTGTTCTCAAACACTGTTGTTGACAGAGGTGTGAGCCTGACCCTCACTCCATCGCTGGTGATGGAGCCTGACATCTCCTTTCTATTTAGCTGTGAATTTTTCTGTTGTTCTGGGTGACATGGAAGGATCCAGTGATGGGGAAGACGGGGGAGGTGTCGTTGGAGATCGGCTGCCATCCAGACCTCCGTGAGGTCCTGCCCAGGGAAATGGTTGAGCCGAAAGGCAAGCAGGCCGTGAAGAGAAAAGCCATCCCAGAGAGAGGAGCATGGAAAGGGAAGTTTGACTTCCTGCTTTCCTGCGTGGGGTATGCCATCGGACTCGGGAATGTCTGGAGATTCCCGTATCTCTGTGGGAAAAATGGAGGGGGTAAGAAATCCATCCATTCGACTTAAAAACGGTCACTTCTATGAACATAACCTGAACTTTATATGGTTTCATCCTTAAGCCCATTCTACTGGACATCTGCGATAGTGGAAGGTCAGCGCGACCATTCTCAGCTTGCTCCATGCTGAGTTTGCTGCTCTCAGCCTATGGCTTAATTAATGCCTTCCCAGGATCAGCCAGGGTCCCTGCTCCAGTCCCTCTACTGGAATGTCAGCAATGATGCCAATCTGTGATTGTGGGGACAGTCAATGCTCCTTTAATGCAAGTGTGTTTGCCTGAAGCATATGACATGCTAACGATTCCCTGTCTCCTATTCCAGGTGCCTTCCTGATCCCATATTTCCTGACACTGGTATTTGCTGGGATCCCTTTGTTCCTACTCGAAACTGCTCTGGGTCAGTACACATCGATCGGAGGCCTGGGAGTCTGGAAGCTGGTTCCTATGTTTAAGGGTCTGTATTTCTCCACTAATGACTGACATAATATTGAGAGTTGCTATTTGGCAATTGCTTAATAATAATAACTCTTGCATTTGATACATTGCCTAAGTAAGGAAAGAGTTAATGGTTAAAGGTTTCTTACTGCTGTTTTTGCACTCTCCGGGCTCTGAAGGAACGGTTAAAGATCCTGCAAATTCCTGATGAGATGGTCAATGCTGTAAGCTTGATACCATTGCTGGATGACCATATCAGTTGTGGTACATGTTGAACAAAAAATTCACATATTGAAAGATCATTGTTTGCAATGCTTTGCACTGGGACAGAACCCCATCTGAGGGTGTTTTATGACTTTTGGGATGTCATAAAATAGAAATTAGCATTTTTGGGAATGAGAGCATGACGGACAGATAAGGTCTCTGGTACATACCACCCTGCATGTAGAAGTTAGACCTTTTGGGTTTAAAAGAAGATTTAGTCAGTATTAGTGAGTTGCAGATCTGAAGACTCCCAGTACCTATTCTCTCCCAGAGACGGTAACCCTGGTTGCTACCATTATTGCCCATTGCGATACTCTCAATATTCTTCCGCAATTATTGACTGTTGAACTGTAGTAAAGGAAACAATTATTTAACATCTAAATTGTATGCATACAATTGTCTTAAAGTAAAATTACACCTATAACTGCTATGATTCCCCAAGGAATAAGCTACACCACAGTGTGGATATATTTCCAGTTGTTTAATTCAAGTCTCAATCCAACTGACACCCGTCTGCCTCTGAACACCTTCGCTGACCTCAGTCGCTGGGGTTTATATTCAGAGATTCAGTCCATCAGGTGATTTGACACCTGATCTCACTGAGGCCAAAATTTACACCAGATGTCAATAAGCATGAATCTTTTCAGAAAGAATGTCTGACATTCATTGCATTCTCTCTCTTACATCTCTGGACTTTCTCCTGAATCTCTTCTATTTTTTTGTTATCAGTCTAGTATCTCTTTGTTTGTTATCTTTCTTCCTCTGTTGCTCTCATCATTATGCCTTTTATACATGGCTTCTTGTACAAACTCTCTCCTTCCTCAAAATCTTTCTAACTGATGCTTCTTCAGCTGTATCAATCTTGAAGGTTTGTGAACACTTGTTTGTTCTATTGGGTTAGCAGTATTCCAGGGCTCTCTGATGACTGCACACCCAGCCTGGTTCATTGGCTGTATTTGGAAGGGCAGACCAGTCACTGGGGGCAGGGACTTTTCCCATCCTACTCCCATAACCCTGCAAGTTAAGCCCCTAATGTGATCCTAGCGGGAAAGCTTGCTCGGCACTATGCAGTATTAGCTGACTAGACTCCAGCAGACTTTGGGACCCCCACGTCTTGGCTCTTGCCAACCTGCTTTCAGGAATAAGGTAAGCAGAATGTGTCCCTCCAGAGAGAGTGCGCATCTCTGCAATTTCCATGTGTAGGTGGGATGCATGGAATTCTCAGTTTGATTTTAATACTCTTAAAGCATTGTGATGGATTTCAGCATTAGGTCAGACACCCGACTGACCAAAATAAATTATTGTTCTGCAGAAGCACCGCTTTCAATCCTGGCAATGATATCTATGGACACATGTCATAAAAGCTTAATGTTGGCATTCAGATTAAAACTACTATTTTTCTTGTTCCATTTCTCTTCCTGCTCTTTTTCTCACTCAAAAAATGCTTCTATTTTTAGACATCACCTGAATGGTTCAGTTCTTACATTAGAATACATTAGAATATACAGTACAGAAACAGGCCATTCGGCCCAACTGGTCTATTCCGGTGTTTATGCTCCACATGAGCCTCCTCCTCCCCTTCCTCAACTAAACCTTCAAGCATAACGTTCTATGCCTTTCTCCCTCATGTACCTACCAAGCTTTCCTTACATACATCTATGCTATTGTAGCCATACTTAGCATAAAACATGCCAGCCATGTCACCATACCCAGAAACCTCTCCATCTCCTTCTGGTCTTGGTCTTTTCATAGTTGCTTCACCCTTGTCAATGTCAATATCCAATCCTTTCGCTTTATTCGGGGTCATAGATATTTGGCCTCCTGTTATGAAAATTCACATTTATCTTCTCATTTAGCTTTATGTTTTACTGTCTCCATATTCCCTCAATCTTCTATCATGCCTTTCCTGGATTCCCCATACACCAGTGTGCCCGAATTCACTGCACCCTTTAATTCATCCATTGTCTGACTCATCCTCTTCTGGAATACTTCCTATGCAGTTATGATCTCAAATGGCATTTGCAAAACACTATCACCCGAACAGCATGTTAAATAATAATAATCCTTGCATTTGAAATAGCGCCTTATCACGTCTTTGAGACATCTCAAAGCTCTTCACAGAATATACTGAAAGTGAATTGACTATATTTTGTGGGCAAAACATAGTAGACAATTGCACACAGCAGTGTCCCACAAACAGTCGTGGATTGAAGTGACCAGTTTATTATTATATTATTTTTTGAAAGAATTATTACCCCAAGAAAAGCGAACTGCCAATCGACTAACAACTGGGTTCCTACTTACTGCTATGAAAACAGGCGTGTGGAGGAAGGAAACTTGCCCCAAATTTTGCCCTACCGGGAATCGAACCCAGGACTCTCATTTGCGATGCACTATTAATGTTGTTGAAAGTGCGCTTTTTTCTGCTAGTTTCACTTCTCGGTATGATTTTGAGAAATCTAACCAATTAAATCTGCAGCTGAATATCGGCAAGATGGAAGCCATACTGTTTGGCTCTTACCAATGGCAGATGAGATTTAATGTGAAGAAATGCAAAGTGTTGCATTTTGGTAGGAAGAATGAGGCGAGGCACGCAATTGGCTGCCGCGTTCGCCCACAAATATACAGTCAATTCACTTTACAGTGTGTTCTGTGAAGCGCTTTGGGACGTCCTCCCGACGTGAAAAGCGCTATATCAAATGCAAGGATTATTATTATTATTATTATTATAAGCTAGCTGGTACAATCTTAACAGAGAGACCTGGGGGTCCATATAAGCAAATCTCTGAAGGTGGCAGGGCGGGTAGATACAGGTGTTAAAAAAGCATACAGGATACTAGGTTTTATAAATAGGGGCATAGAATTCAAAAGTCAGGAGGTTATGTTGAATATTTATAAAATGCTGGTTAGGCCTCAGTTGGAGTACTACATTCAGCTGTGGGCACTGCACTTTAGGAAAGATGTTAGGGCATTGGAGAGGGTGCAAAGGAGGTTTACCAGGATGGTACCAGGAATGAAGTACCTTAGTTATGAGGAAAGGTTAGTGAAACTAGGATTATTCTCCCTAGAGCAGAAGAAGATTAAGAGGGGACTTACTAGAGGTTTTCAAAATCATGAGAGGATTTGATAGGTTGAACCGGGAAAGACTGTTTCCACTGGCCTGTGGGTCAGCAACCCGAGGACACTGATTTAAGATAGTTGTTAAAAGAAACAGAGAGGAAGTTAGGGAAAAAAAATTCACCCAGCGAGTTGTTCGGATCTGGAATGCATTACCTGAAAGGGTAGTGGAAGCCGATTCAATAACAACTTTTAAAAGAAAAGTAGATGGGTATTTGGGGAGAACAGGATTGCAGGGCTGTGGAGAGAAAGCAGGCCGGTGGGATTGAGTTGGATTGCTCTTTTAGGAACCGGCGCAGACGCGATGGGCCGAATGGTCTCTTTCTGTGCTGTATGATTCTGTGATTCTATGATCAACGTCTTCTCTCCTGCAGGTCTGAACTTCTCAACCTCCCCAGGCTCTCCCTCAGATTTTCTGAACCTGTGTGAAACTTAGGCATCAGATTCGATCCACAGTTTTCCTGACCAAGATCATTTTTTTCCTCCTCTGCCACATTACCCACCTCTGTCAGTACCTAGACAACCAACACAGCTGAAACCCTCGTCCACGCTTCGTCACTTCCTGGCTGGACTATTCCAATGCTCTCCTTGTTGGTCTCCCCAGCTCCACCAAAATCCAATTCATTCAAAATTTCAACCCCCGGATACTCATGAAGCACCATACCTCCATCACACCAGTCCTCGCCAGGCTCCACTGGCTCCCAATCACTGAACAGATGGATTTCAAGATTCTCTCACTTATTTTCAAATCACTTAACTTCCTCACACCTCCCTACCTATCTGGCATGCTTACCCCCCCACTTCAGCACCCGCTCCATCTGCTAGGCTGTCTCCAGCCTCCTATTTGTCCCTTCATTCCACCATCGGTGGCTGTGCCTTCAGCCACTGCACCCCAAAGCTGTGGATCTCTCTCTCTCAATCTCTCCACCTTGTCCCCTCCTTCCCCACCTTCAAATCCTGCCTAACAAGCTTCATTTTTGATTGAACTTATGGTCACCTCCCCGCTTCCCTCTCCCCCGGTTCGTTGTCAAACTCTACCACTGTGAAGCACGCCAGGACGCTACCCCATGTGAAGGGCGCTATATAAATGCAAGTTATTGTTGTGTTGCAGCTGGACATGAATACTCTCAAGTTCCAAAGTTCCAGAGTTCCATAAGGTTCTTTCTTTATGGCTCGGTTTAATTCCTGGATTCTCTGTTTTCCCAAAGCCTCCTTTTACTCTTCTCATTGGCTGAATTGCAAGTCAGGTCTGGCTCCCTCTTTCTACCTAAGTCTCTATTCTCCTTTTATCAGACCTACACCTCCAAATCCATCTGCTGATTCTTCCATTCTTCTCTTTGTCTTCGGATTCTGGATTTCATTCAGTCTTTTCACAACTGCTAGTTGCTGAATACCCAGCTCTCCAAATTCACCTTGATGATGCCAATGTGCACATTGATATGATATATTTTCCTTCTATATATTTTATCTCCAAATTTACTCTCTTGTTCAAACGTATTTATTGCTGCCTCTTGTTGATTTATCTTCTATATTCTTGGATCTCCTATGCCTTGAATAATTGTTGTCTTATGTTAACCCTTCTTCAACTATCTATCTTGAATGCTGTAATTTACTTCCACCTTTAGCAGTATTCCCCACATGTCTTGTGTGCATCACAAATATACCGTCAAGTCCTCACATTCCCCATCTACTGGTCCTCGCCATTTAGTTTCTCACGTCTCCATATTCACAGGTCCTCCACAATTTTAACAGAATAGTATAATATTGAACAAAAGTATCCTGTGGCCATCATTTCCGAGCTCCACACTCTTCATTATTAGATTATTATTATTTATTGTTAGGTACTCCATTTCTAAAACTCAGCTTTGTTCCATTCCTTTAGACACATCGACCTTGCAAAGATATCTGGTAATCAGCTCCACTAAACCATCTTCTTGTCAATTGTCTCTTCCTGTTACCAACATCCAATAACTGTCAAAATCTCCTCGCCTTTATCAAGACTCAAGCAGTTTGTTTTAAACAAGTCTGAAAAAGTCTGAGAAAGTTTGTTTTGCAGCCAACACAATGTCTTATCAATCGTGATATTGAAACTTTGTGTTCTGTAAACATGCTTTCACGGTTCACAGCTGCAATTTTTCTGAAGAAAACAGGTCCATGAACCTTTGAGATTTTTCTTTGGTCAACCCTTTGGTCAACTCAAGCAATCCATGCTTACAGGGAGATCAGGCAGAGTGAATTGAGGGTTGATGTCTGACCTAACATTTTCTTAAAAAGTGATTGATAAATCAATTACAGTTTTCACACTGTAGGTCTTCGGAAAAGTTTATATTCTATTAAAACAGTTCTGTTTTGAAACCAGTTTGGTTGTGCCATTCCTTGTCTACTTCTCAATCTACTTCGCAATCATGTTTTCTGCAATAAGTACAGTAGCGTGCAGTATTGTATATGGAAAGAATGGGCTTTAATATGCATGAGTAAACATGCATGCCTAATGTTACCAGCCAGTTCAGTACTTGTGTTTTTGTTATGTCTAAATCATGTGTAATCTGACTTAATACATAACTTTACATAAATCTTACGTGATACGACTTATTCACGTTTCGCATAAGTCATAAATCATACTAAATGTTTGGTTCCAACTTGTACGACTTATGTGAAGTTTACTGTAATCAGAGACTCCATGATGTTTACTGGCAAATCTTTTGCAGTCTTCCTTTTCCTGCCACACGGGTGCCTCCCTGTTGTTTTGAATTTATTGTCATATTCAAAGTTGATCATCTTCTGACAGCGTGTTACAAGGAATAAGGTACACCACATCATGGATGGCTTCCAAATTGGTTAATTTGAGTCTCAATCCATGAGTCAACTTCTACAACCTGTCTCCCAATTCCTTCTCTAACCTCAACCACTGGGCTTTCATACTCAAGAGATTCAGTCCATTAAGGTTAACATCTAATTTCACTGAACCCAATAATTGACATCAGATGTCAATAAATGTGACAATAACATTCAAACCCTCTGACAGTAATTGCTTTAAAGTGTGTGTGTCTGTGGGCAAAAGCGGTAGCATGTTCCGGAAACGGCCATGAAGTGAGTGAAAAGTTTTATCAACAAGGATCAAAAAATCCCTTCTTTCCAATAGCATTGTGTGTTCCTTAACAATATCTTTGATATTTTGAATATTTCTCTTTGTATTTGACTTAATACAAATACATTTTATGTGGTACTGATTCACTTATGGTATCAATCACATGTGTTGATACATGTTGTATTGATCACATATTATGTTGCATTCATCGTATGTTTTATTGATCATGTGTTGTGTTGATCATGTCTTGTGTTCTGTTATGTATTAAGTTGTATTGATCACTTGTATGGATCACATTTTATATTGATCACATGATGCATTGATCACTTGTATTGATCACGTCTTGTATTAATAATTTCTTGTGTTGGTTTGTGTCAGGAGTGGGGATGGCTGCTGTGGTCCTGTCTTTCTGGCTGAACATCTATTACATTGTCATAATTTCCTGGGCGCTCTACTACCTCTTCAATTCTTTCACCTCGGTGAGTCAGCCTTTGTGCTCTTTTCCTGGTGCTGCTGTGCCAGACTCTCTGAACTTCCCTGTCCTGTGCATGTCACCGAGCGGCCCTGGAGCCGTGAGCTCACCACATGTCAAATCCAATGACCTAAGATCGTCCCCAGCCAGCGCTCAGAGCCTTCAGCTTAATAATAATATTCAGTCGCGTCACTAGCTGAGAACATTTCCGCTGGGCTTCTGTACACCAAGCTTCACTGTATCTCTAACCCTGACCTGGGAATGTGGATGAACATTGTAGAGGGAGCTTTACTGTGTCTCTAATCCTGACCTGGGAATGTGGACAGACAGTGTAGATGGAGTTTTACCTCGTCTCTAGCCCTACCTGGGAGTGTGGGTGGACAGTGTTGACATGTTGACCACTTCATGTGTTGACCTGTTGATGTGTTGATGTATGATCTGAACTAGGAACTTCCTTGGCAAAACTGTGACAATGTGTGGAACACCAAATCCTGTTTCTCCAATTTCTCGCTCCTCGACACCACCAACCGGACCAGTGCAGTGACAGAGTTCTGGGAGTAAGTATGCACCACATAGTAACCCCCCACCCATCCCGACCCCCCCACCCCACGAATTTACCAGAACCTGAACATCCTAGGAAATAGCATCCGCCTGAGTGATCAGAAACACAGGCCAGAGAGACAGATAGAACCATAGAAATGGATCCATAGAGGAGACCATTCGGCCCATTAGGGGTCAGCGCTTTGTTCCATCAAGAAGCAGTCCAGCGTAATCCCAGTTTGCTACTCATTTCTATCTTCTCTAATCCCATTCCTCTTTGTATATTTTTCCAGTTCTCTTTTAAGTCATCATCTCTACCCCCAGGAACTCTCAATCCAGGTTGGAGACTCAGCAAACTTCACTGTGCTGGAATATCAACCTAGTCTGTGAGCTCAAAATCTTCAATGTGGGGCTAGAAGCAACCAGCTTCTGAGTCGGAGGCAAGAGTGTGAGCGATGAAGGTGTGCTGCTTAATCTGGAGTGATTAAGAATGCAACAACTACAACTTGTACAGAAGCCAAAACAATGAATAATATCTCAAAGCATTCACAGTAGCAGAGACAGATGGGAGGTGGTGGGGTGGTGGGAGGAGAGAGGTGGGAAAGGGGAGGAGACCATAGGCATGGTTTTAAACTGGACCATGAAGAGAGATCCAAAGGGGCGAGACAGAGGCATCAAGGAAAGGAGTTGTAGAGGCTGGAGTAGAATGTGTAGAATCAGATTGCAGAGGGTGTTAGTTTCAGGGTGATGACTGTGGGTTGCTATGTTTCAGGAACAACATGCATCAAATGACCAGCGGTCTGGAGGACCCGGGCTTCGTGCGATGGCCTCTGGCAGGCACCCTGGCGCTGGCATGGGTCCTTGTCTACTTCTCAATCTGGAAAGGAGTGGAATGGACAGGAAAGGTAGGGCTCAGAGTGCAGAGTATCCCTCACACTGTCATATACCATGCTGAACTCAGTGTCCCTGATATTCGGACCTTCACTGTGGAGAGCCTGTTGTTCTAAGCAGGTGTGGTGCTGATGGTTCTCTTTCTCCACTCTCTGACCAGGTTGTGTATTTCTCAGCTACGTACCCCTATTTGATGCTGATCATTTTATTCTTCCGTGGAGTGACACTACCCGGTGCCATTGAAGGCATCTTGTTCTACATCACGCCCGATTTTAGCAAACTCTCCAACTCTGAGGTGCGTCTGCTTGGAGCTGCAGAGCCATAATCTGTGATTGAATGGATCAGGTTACACTGTGTCCAGCTCTTCAGTCTTCTCTGAAGACTGAAGAGCCCTAGCTTGATTGGAAGATTGCAAATGTAACACCACTGTTTAAGAAGGGTGGAATAGAAAAGATGAGGATCTATAGACCAGTTAGTCTGACATCAGTGGTAGGGAAAATTCTTGAGTCCTTAATTAAGGATGTCATTATGGGATTCCTGGAAGACCATAACAAGATTAGGCAGAGTCAACATGGCTTTACAATCTTTTAGAGTTTTTTGAAGATGTATCTAGCAGGTTAGATAGGGGGGAACCAGTAAACGTAGTATATTTAGATTTTAAAAAGGCATTTGACAAAGTGCCACACAAAAGGCTATTGCACAAGGTTAAGGCCCACGGGATAAATGGGAGCATATTAGCATGGATTGAAGAGTGGCTAACGGGTAGAAAACAGAGAGTAGGGATAAACGGGTCATTCTCGAATTGGCAGGATGTGACTAGTGGAGTGCCACAAGGATCAGTGCTTTGGCCTCAGCTATTTACAATTTACATCAATGATCTGGACGAGGACATTGAATGTAACGTATTTAAATTCGCGGATGACACTAAACTAAGTGGGAGAGTAAGCTCTGGGGATGATGCAAAAAGATTGCAACAGGATATAGATAGGCTCGGGGAGTGGGCGAGTAGGTGTCAGATGGAATTTAATGTGGGGAAGTGTGAAGTTATTCACCAAGGTAGAAAAAATAGAAAAACAGATTATTTTCTAAAGGGGGAGAGATTAGATAGTGTTAATGTTCAGAGGGATTTGGGTGTCCTTGTACACCAGTCTCAAAAAGTTAGTTTGCAGGTGTAGCAAGCAACTAAGAAGATGAACGGCATGTTAGCGTTCATTGCAAAAGGTTTAGAGTACAAGAGTAGGGAAGTCTTGCTGCAACTGTATAGGGCCTTGGTGAGACCTCACCTAGAGTATTGTGTGCAGTTTTGGTCTCCTTATTTAAAAAAGGACATACTTGCCTTAGATTCACGAGGTTAGTTCCTGGGAGGAGGGGACTGACCTATGAGGATAGGCTGAATAAACTAGGGCTGTATTCTCCAGAGTACAGAAGAATTAGGTGACATCTTATTGAAACATATAAGATTCTTAAAGGGCTGGATAAAGTAGACACTGAGGGACTGTTTCCCCTGGTAGGAGAATCTATAACCAGGGGTCACAGTATTAAAATTAAGGGTCAGCCTTTTAGAACAGAGTTGAGGAAACATTTCTTCACTCAGAGGGTAGTGAATTTATGGAATTCACTACTCCAGAAGGCTGTAGATGCTCCTTGAATATCTTCAAGGCTGAGACTGATAGATTTTTTAAAAATTGAGGGATTAGGGGATATGGGGATAGGGCAGGTAATTAGAGTTAGGTCAGAAGATCAGCCATGATCTTATCGAATGGTGGGGCAGGCTCCTAATTCTTACGTTCTTATGTTCTTGTCTAATCGTTGCTCATAACACATTCCTTTAAAATTGGTGATCATCAGAGGGGATCTAATAGAGCTGTACAAAATTTTAAATGGGATTGAAAATGTCAAACCAGATCAATGCTTTTGCATGCACCCAGTGGAACAAGAGGACACTGGTTTGGAGTTGAAAAGAGCAATTTCAAGACAGACACCGGAAAGTCTTTCTTTAGCCAGAGGGTAATGACTGGAACAGGATTACTAGGGAAGGTGGTTGAGGCTAGGACCCCAGACTCATTTAAGCGTATGGTCGGGTGGAAAACCTCGCGCCTGGGGATTAATCCAGCTGTGTAAAATAGAATTACACATTGTGTGCACATGGTACATAATACAGCTGTCTACACATGCTTAATACAGCTGTGTTTACCAATAATGTATACATTTTGCATAATATAGCAACCATAACTTACATTTACACAATGCCATTCACACAGGATCATGTCTCAGAGCACTGCACCCGCGGGTTTCACATTAGTACATTTGTTGACACTGAGCGATGGGAAGGTGACCATAGTTGTTTTTCTAGTGGGAGCTAAAGACAGATAAAGAAAGGATGAGGTAGAGGGATTGAGACAGCGAGTTCCAGAGGTTAGTCGTGTAGTGACTGAAGGTGCAGCCACTGGTGGTGGCGAGGAGGGGGAGACATGCAGCAGGTCTATGTTAGCTGAGTAAAGGGGATGGCAGAGGAGTGGGATATGAGCAGGTTAGAGAGGTGGGGAGTGCTGAGGCGTGAAGGGATTTGTAGGTGACGGTGAGGAGCTTGAAATCGCTCCATTCAGAGACAGGGACCAGAAGAGGATTGTGGAGTGGATGCGGAGTTTGGTGAGGGTGAGGTTGTGGATTCTATAGTTCACCAATGTTTGGAATGATTAGTATGGTTTGGTTATTTCTGGGCAGGTCTGGCTAGATGCAGCTACACAAATATTCTTCTCCTATGGCTTGGGACTGGGATCTCTGATCGCTCTGGGGAGTTACAACAACTTCCACAACAATGTGTACAAGTAAGATTAACATGTGCAAAATCAACGTGTGTATGATCAACATGTGCAAAATCAATATGTGTACAATCAACATGTGTAAAATCATCATGTGTACAATCAACATGTGTAAAATCAACATGAGTAAGATTAACGTGTGTATGATCAATGTGTGTAAAATTAACATGTGTAAGATTGACGTGTGTCCGATCAACAACAACAAGATTACATTTGTATAGCGCCTTTCAGGTCGGGAGGACGTTCCAAGGCGCTGCAAAGTGTACAGCATTTCAAACCCAAGCTGGGGTCAAGGTGGGAGAAGGAAGGGGAGGGGAAGGGGGGTGACCGGTGGCATGGTTGAAGAGGAGGGTTTTGAGGCGGAGGGGGCGAGGCAGAGTGATTGGGGGATGGAATTCCAGAGGTTGGGGGCAGAGTGGCTGAAGGCTCTCCCGCCAATGGTGGGGCGGGTGGGTCGGGGGACGTGAAGCAGGCCAGAACCGGCTGAGCGGAGGGAGCGGGCGGGTTGGTAGGGGATTAGGAGGTCACAGAGGTAGGATAGGGCGAGACCATGGAGGGCTTTGTAGGTGACGACCAGGATCTTGAACTGGATCCTCTGAAGGATAGGGAGCCAATGGAGTCGGGCGAGAATAGGGGCGATGGGGGTCACAGAATTTGGTGCAGGAGAGGACATGGGCTGTAGAATTCTGGAGTATCTGCAGCCTGTGGAGGGAGGAATTGGGAAGCCGACAAGCAGGACGCTTGCATAGTCAAGCCTGGAGATGATGAAGGCATGAACAAGAGTTTCAGCGGCCTGAGGGGTGAGTTAGTGGCGGAGTCGGGCAATGTTACGGAGGTGAGGGAAGGCAGAGCGGGTCATGGCTTGGATGTGGGGAAGAAGACAGTTGAGGGTCAATCAAGACCCCTAGGTTCCTGACTGGCTTGGTGAGTTGTAGTGTGCAACTCATGGAGGTTGATGCTGCCAGATCTATATGTATAAGATAAATGTTGTGAGTAAACATTTGGAGGCAATAATTAGGAACTAGGTTAGCAAATACTTAGATAGGCATGGGTTAATTAGGGACAGTCAGCATTGGTTTGTGAAGTGCAGATCGTTTGACTCATTTAAAAGAATATTTGAAGTGGTAACAGCAAATGTAGATCAGGCCAATAATACGGTAGTATATTTGTATTAATATTGTAGGGCAAATAGTATATTTGTTTCCAGAAGTCGTATGATAAAGTGCCGAATGGGGACTGGTGGACAAACTCAGGAATGGGGGAAATGTGGTGCTTTGGATAGAAAGGATATAGAAAGCTGAGAGTCGAAAGCAAAGGTTGTTTTCCAATTGAGGAAGGTAGTTACTGGTATGTCACAGGTGGCTGTTGGGGCCTCTCCTTTTTTCTATTTATATCATTGACCTCGACATGGATATCGGGTATCGGGGGTATGGTATCAAAGTTTGCAAATTATACCAAGCTAGGCAGTATAGTGAATAATGATGAGAATGGCAAGAGCATTTAAACAAGTTAGAACAATGGGCTGATCTGTGGCACATGAGGTTCAGTGACAGGAAAGTGAGGTGATTCATTTTGGTCGCAAAAAAACGAGGGAAGAGAGTATATATTAAATGGCAGTTTTTTGCATGGAGCATATAGTACAAGAGTAAAGCAATAATGATAAATGTGTTTAAATCATTGGTTAGATCACAGCTGGAGTATGGTTTTCAGTGTTCCTCACTTCAGGAAAGATGTTAGGGCCTTGGAGGGGTGCAGAGAATGTTTATGAGAATGATTCTGGGAATGAAGGGCTACAGTTATGAGGAGAGATTGGAGAGGCTGGGTCTGTTTTCATTGGAGAGAAGAGGTTGATGGGTTTTGCAGTGTAAATAGGGAGAAGTTAGTTAGTTAGTTATTGTCGGTGACAAGGGGACATAGTTATAAGATAGCCACATAAAGAGGGAAAGGGTAATATATGAGGAATATTTTTCCCCAGAGAGTGATTGGGGTGTGGAACGCACTACCAATTAGGCAGTGGAGGCAAAGTGCATTATAGGCTTAAAAAGTGGAGTGCACATGGTATGAAAGATGGGCTTGACCGGGTGTGAAGATAAGGCGAGTTGGAGGGGCTAAAGTGATCTCCTTGCTCTGTGAGCTGATTTGCCAAATGGCCTCCTTCTGCGCTGTAGATTTCTATATTTCCATGTGTACCGTCAACATGTGTAAGATTAACATATACAAAATCAAAGTGTTTACAATTAATCTATGTGAAATTAACGTGTGTGAGATTAACCGCATGTATATTAGCGTGTGTGAGATAACCAAGTGTGAGATTAATATGTGCAAAATTACGTTCAGTACAAGCCCAGGGAGCTCCCCTCATACCAGTCTGGCCCAATCAGCAGAGCTCTTACCTCTGGGTCAGAAGATTGTGGGTTCAAGACCTACATCAGAATTTGAGCTCACAGCCTAGGCTGTCACTCCAGCTCAGACATGCCACCCTTTGGATGAAATGTAAAACCAAGATCCCATCTGTGCTTGTTTAAATGGACATTAGAGATCCTGAGGTTCTATTACAAAAGAGAAGGGAGTTTCTCTCTTCTGGAGTCATGGCCAATAATCCCTCAAATAAAATTGGTCATTCATTTAGTGTGTGGCACATTGCTGTGTGGCAAATTGGCTGTTGCATTCACCCACAAACACACAGTCATAACTCCTCTGTGTGCATATGCTATGAAGCGGTTTGGGTCATCCACTCGACATAAAAGGCGATGTATGAGATGTACAATTGTTGTTGTTACAGAAATGGTCACACTGAGTATGGATTGAGTTGTGTGTTTCCTGTTGGCAGGGATTCCCTCATTGTGTGTTTTATAAACTCCTGCACCAGCATGTTTGCTGGTCTCGTCATCTTTTCCATCATTGGCTTCATGTCTTACATCACCAAGAAGCCAATCCAGGACCTTGCTTCATCAGGTAAACCTCTGTCTGTCAGTCTTTACAGTTTACATTTACACAGCACCTACATGTCAGGAGGATGTCTTAACACTCATCCTACTGGCCAAGTGCACAATGCTTGCTGATGAGCTCGGACATTGGATCCTTCAGATTTCACACGCTCTTCACAAGGCCATTCACCAGTTTGGTCCAGTATTATTGGATCACTAGATTAATCCCTGATCTGAAGGGACTGAGCTGTGGTGAGAAAATGTGGAGATTGGGGTTATATTGCTTAAAGCAATGGAGTTTACAGGGAGATGTGATTGAGGTGTGTAAAATAATGAGAGGAATTGACAGGTAAAAGAGTGGATTATTCCTCCCTCTGGTAGAGGGATTGTTGCAAGGGGCAGAGCCTTACATTCAGAGCCAGGATTGTTAGAATAAAGGAAGCGTTTCCTCATACAGAGCATTGTGAGGATGTGGAACGCTCGTCCCAGAAAGCTGTGGTGAAGAAACAATAGGTTGGTTTAAGAATCTATGTTTAATAATTAAATTAAACATAGATAATGACTGGGGTAGTAGAGGTCCTGTCTGTGACTATTCAGGTGGAGTGAGTTAAAGACCCAATGGCACTATTCAAAAAGAGAAAAGAGTTTCTTGGGCCGACAAACCGCCAATAAAATTGCTCATCACATCATGGCTGTTTGCAGGACATTGTGTATGCAAAATGGCTGCTGCATTTGCTGACAAATACACAGTCGTTACACCTTATACTAAATCCTGTGAAGAAGTTTGAGATGTTTTCCTGATGAAAAGCTGTGTGAAATGGAAAGTTTATACGTATTATTATTATCAGTCTGTGATTTGGAGTCTCCAGTCAGGTGATGGCAATGAGCAAGTGAATACAACAGCTGATACATTTGTTCTGCATTATCAAATCCATCAAACCCTTCTGTTCACCCAATGACAGGAGTGGCAGCTTCCCCATCGATTTATCATTAACCCTCCCTGTTTGTTGAGCTAATTAATGAATTCCCTGCGGCAGTGATTAATTTAATCACAATTAAACTTCTCACCCAATGAATAGAGAGATAGTGATTTTCCACAGAGACAGCTCATAACCGACTTTCACTCTCCATCTGACTCAGAATCATCCCTATATCATCCCCAAATCACCTCTGTATCACTCCCACATAACCCCACATATTACTCCATATCATCCCCATATCATCACCATGTTACTCCATATTACCCCATATCACTCCCATATCACCCCCATATCACCAACAACGACAAGAACTTGGATTTATATAGCGGCCTCCAAGCCGGATGGCATCTCAGAGTGCTTCAAACCAACACACGACCCCCATATCAACTTCATATCACACCTATATCACTGCCTTATCACCCCTGTATCCCTTGTGGAGTCCTGTGGCTCAGTTGTTAGAGTATTCGCCTCGCAAGCAAGAGACCTGGGTTCAATTCCCAGCAGGGCAAAAGGTTGGGCAAGTTTCCTTATTTCACATGCCTCTGTTTATCCAACAGTAAGTAGGAACCCAGTTGTTGGTCGATTGGCAGATCGTTTTTCTGTGGGTAATAATTATTCCTTCAAAAAAACACTTCAATCCACAACAGTTTGTAGACACTGCTGTGTGCAATTGGCTGCCGCTGCTGCGTTCCGCCTACAAAATATACAGTGAAATTCACTTTACAGTATATTCTATGAAGCACTTTGAGACATCTCGAAGACTTGATAAGGCGCTATATCAAATGCAAAGATTATTAATATAAGAATCATAGAATTATAGAGCACAGAAAGAGGCCATTCGGCCCATCGTGTCTGCGCCGGCTCTTTGAAATCCAAATCAATCCCACTCTCCCGCTCTCTCCCCATAGCCTTGCAAACTTGTCCTCCCCAAATAATGATCTACTTCTCTCTTAAAAGTTGTTATCGAATCAGTTTCCACCACCCTTTCAGGCAATGCATTCCAAATCCAAACATCTCACTGTGTGAAAAAAATTATTTTCACCCCCTCTCTGTTTCTTTTAACAACTATTTTAAATTGGTGCCCTTGGGTTACCGACCCACCCGCCAGTGGAAATAGTTTCTCCCCGTTCATCGTATCAAATCCCCTCATCATTTTGAAACTTCTATTAAGTCTCCTCTAAACCTTCTCTGTTCCAAGGAGTTTCCTCAGTCCAATCCCTCCGTCTCCTCAATCATTTTGTTTGCTCTCTTCTGCAGACCATGTCCTCTCCCGCACCAGGCTCCACGACCCTATCAACCCCCTCCACTGGCTTCCCATTACAGAGGATACAGTTCAAGATCCTGGTCCTCACCTTCAAAGCCCTCCATGGCCTTGCGGCCCCCCGCTGCTGCGACCTCCTAACTCCGTTGGTAAGGACCAACCTGCCCGCTCCCGCCGCCCAGGAGCCTGCTTCACTTCCCCTGCCTCCACCATCAGTGGGTGGGGCTTCAGCCATTCTGCCCCACCCTCTGGAACTCCATCCCACAGTCCCTCTGCCTCGCACCCCCNTTACCTCCCTCAAGACCAGTCTCAAGATCCTCCTCTTCAACCATGCCTTCGGTCACCCTCCTTCACCCCCCTGCCCCCCACACTCTCCGATCCCGACCCCGATTCAGTACTGTATACATGACATAGCTGTGTGCAAATTGGCTCCCACGTAGATCTACAAAGTGCTTTGGGATATTCTCCCGACGTGGAAGGCGCTATACAAATGTAATTTTGTTGTTCTGTATTCTCTCAATTGCAGCAATATCCTTTTTTATTTTTTGTATCACCCCAATATAACTTCTTAATCAGCGCCTTATCACTCAAGTATTGCCTCTCTATCACACTGGTTTTTGCTCGCATTACCAGAATTGTAAACTGTCCTGTGCTGACGTATGCTGCTTTTAGATGGCCAGATTTCCAAGGTGTTATTCATGTTTAAACTAGTCGTGCTCGTATGAGTGATCCCAGCGCCTTGGTACGTCTTTCCAACATGAAGGGTGCTTATACAAGTGTAAGTTGTTGTTGTTATACCTGGTGCCAGCGTGGCACATTCAGAATTATCAGAGGTGCTGTCCTTTGAATGAGACAATAAACAGAGGTCCTGCCTGTGCCAGTTCAGGTGAAAGTTAAAGATCCCACAGTGCTGTATGTAGGACATAGCTGTGTGTAAATTGGCTCCCACGTTGGCCTACAGAGCACAGTTACTCCACTTTACAGTGAATTCTGTAAAGTGCTTAGACATACTCCCAATGTGAAAGGCACTGGGTCAATGTAAGATTATTAATGTTATTATTACACAATTGGAGCATGTCTTAAAGCACAGGGAGAGGGAAGAGCTCACACAATAAAGAGCGAGCCTTAAACCAAGACTTGATTTTTGTGGGTGGGCAGCGGTGAGTTTCACATATCGGAAACCCATCACATTATCATGCTTGAGTATCCAAACCAAACTGAGAATTCCATGCATATTGCATAGATAGACTGGGATGAAATGCGCACTCAGGAGGGGTGCATCTCGCTTACTTAATTCCGGAGAGTATTAGGCACAGATTATAATAATAATAATCCTTGCATTTGATACAGCGCCAAATTACGTCTTCGAGATGTCTCAAAGCACTTCATAGAATATACTGTAAAATGAATTGACTGTATATTTTGTGGATGAAAACTCGTAGCTAATTGTGCACAGCAGTGTCCCACAAACAGTTGTTGATGGAGTGACCAAATTTTTAGTATTATTTTTAAGGGACCCTGAAAAAGTGATCCGCCAATTGATTAACAACTGGGTTCCTTCTTACTGCTAGGTAAACAGAGGGGTGTGAAGTAAGCAAACCTATGTTGACGGAAGCCAAGACTTGCGTAGCCCAGTGTGTCTGTACTGTCTGGTAAGCTTTCCCGCTGATAGCACTGTCTGGCAAGCTTTCCTGCTGCTCGTCTGGCTAGGAGCATCCTACCAATTAGGATTTTGGCCTGCAAGTATAACTGGAGCTGAATGGGAGGATTTCCTGCCCCCATTAACTGGTATGCCCTTCCAAGTCCTGCTGATGAGTCAGGCTGAGTGTGCTGTCATCAGCAGTACCCTGGATTATTGCAGACCAGCCTGCTAGAACCAAACTATCGAGACCACCACAGAGGGCTGGCTCGACATTCCGTTGCCAAACATATCACCTCCAAGGAAACCCCCACTTACCTGTCCCCCCAAGGAGGATAAAAACTTGAACCACAACTGAGGCACACTCCCTGACTGCCTGGCCCAGCTCCTGCTGCTGGTAAGTGATACAGCAATAATTATAATTCCATTTACACAGCGCCTTTACATCGGAGCACGTTTCAAAGCACTTCATAGGATTCACTGTAAGCTGCATTGACTGTGTAAATTGTGGTGACTCTTTTAAGTATAGTGACTGCAAAGTGTAGTGACTGTAAACTAGTGGTGATGAAAACTGGAGCAAAAGGCAATGGGAGCGCAGTTGAGAGGAGTGAGGGCAAGGTGGGCAAGGGGAGGGAATGAGGGGAGTGCAGACAAGGGGCTGCACAGGCAATGGGAGCGAGGGAGAGAGGAGTGAGAGAAGGGGGAGCGAGGGAGGGAGATGTGATGCAAGGGGAGTGAAAGAAAGTGGAGCAAGGGAGAGGCGAGGGAAGCATCAGCCTGCTTCACGTCATCCACCCTATCAATCCGAATGTGGTCAGGCTTTCTGTGTGTCAGCCTGGCACAGTGGGAGCATTCCTGCTTCTGAGTCTGAAGGCATGGATTCAGGTCCCCATGTTGGGATTTGGAATGATATAGACTAACTGAAACTCCAGTGCACTGCTAGGGGAGCGCTGCATTGTCAGAGATGCCATCCTTCACATGAGATGTTCCCATCTGGTCCCATCTGCCTGTTCAGGTGGGCATTAAAAGATCCCATGGTGCTATTCAAAAAGTGAAGGGAGTTTCTCCCAGTGTTCTGGCCAACAATCCCCCAAATAAAATTGGTCAATCACTGTTTGTGGGACATTGCTGTATGCAATTGGCTGCCACGTTTGATCCACAAAATTCACAGTATATCCTGTGAAGAGCTTTAACAACAGGATAAAGGCACTATATCAAATTCAAGGATTATTACTATTATTATTTCTCCCCCCACACTTTGGAACTCCATCTCAAATCCCTCCTACTTCCTACCTCAACTCATACTGGATCTATCTTTCCCCAAATCACACCCATAACAGGACTGTTAAGCATTTGGGACATCCTCCTGACGTGAAACACACTGCATAAATGTAAATTTGTATTGTATTGTGAATTGTTGTCATTTCATACCCAGGTCCTGGGCTGGCTTTCCTCGCCTATCCACAGGCTGTGACCCAGTTGCCGCTTTCCCCGCTCTGGTCCATTCTTTTCTTCTCTATGTTAATGATGCTGGGGCTCGATTCCCAGGTAAGAATGGCAGAGTATGGTGAAATGCATGGATGTTAAAGGGATATTATTTGATTGTCCATATCAATGACAAAGAGATACCATTAGACCATTGTTTATGTCAATTTGATGTCAATTATTTTTCTAACGTTCCCCCCATTGACCTCTCTGTCCCTGGACTCGACTCCTCTCTGCCCCTGGTCTGGCCTCCTCTCTTCCCCTGGTCTGGACTCCTCTCTTTCCTTGGTCTGGCCTTCTCTCTGGCCCTAGTCTGGCCTCATTTCTGCCCCTGGTCTGGACTCCTCTTTGCCTCTGGCAGTCTGGGATATTGCTGTGTACAATTGTTTTGCCGTGTTTGCCTACAAATGTACAGTCACTCTATTTCACAGTAATTCACGTGAAGTGCTTTGAGGCATTCTTCTGACATGATAAGGTACTATATCAAATGCAAGGATTATTTTATTATTTGCTTGCAGTTCTGTACAATGGAAGGTTTCATCACTGCCTTAATGGACGAATACCCCCAGTTACTCCGAGCTCGAAAAAAGCTGTTCATTTTTATGATGTGTTTCATCTCCTACATCATTGGATTTTCCAACATTACCCAGGTTAGATTCGGCATGAGTACTTTGCTCCCATTCCATCTCAAGGAAATATTTGTTATGTGAAAGACTCTATACATTGTTGGTTATTGTAGGCTGACACTAGGGCAGTACTGGAGAGGTTTCATTGTCAGAGGTGCAGTCCGTTGAATGAGACGTTAAACAGAGGTTCTGTCTGTTTGATCAGGTTCACACTAAAGATCCAATGGCACTATTCAAAAAGAGAAGGGAGTTTCTCCTGGTGTTCTGGTCCACAATTCCCCATTTTTTTCCTGATAAATCAAATTGCTCCTTTGCATCATGGCTGTTTGTGGGACTTTGTGTGTGCAAATTGGCTGCCTATAAATACGCATTCACTAATCTTTACAGTAAACTCTGTGAAGCAGTTTGAGATGCCCTCCTGGTGTGAAAAGCTGTATGAAGTGAAAGCATTATACATATTATTCTCAGTCTGTGAGTCAGGGTCTCCAGTCAGGTGATGCCAATGAGTGAGTCAATACAACGGCTGTCACACTTGTTCTGTGTTATTGAATCCATAAAAAAATTATTCTGTTCACCCAATGACAGGATTGGCAGCTTCCCGGTCATTATCCCTACCAGTTTGTTGAGCTAATTAATAAATTCCCTGCAGCAATGATTAATTACCGCCTCATAATTAAACCTTTCGCCCAATTAATCCAAAGATAGAAAATTTGCACAGAGACAGTCCACAACTGACCTTCACTCTCCATCTGACTCATAGGGAATCACAACAACGATAACAAGATTTGATTTGTATAGCACCTTTCACGTCGGTAGGACGTCCCAAGGCGCTGGACAGTGTACAGCATTTCAGACCTGAGCTGGGGTCGGGGGGGAGAAGGGAGGAGAAGGGGGGTGGCTGATGGCATGATCGAAGAGGAGGGTCTTGAGGCGGGACTTGAAGGGGGCTAAGGAGGGGGCAAAGCGGAGTGATTGGGGGATGGAATTCCAGAAGTTGGGTACAGAGTGGCTGATATAAGAATATAATGTAATATAATGATATAACAACCATATAATAATAATAATAATCCTTGCATTTGATATAGCGCTTTTTCATGTCTTCCAGACGTCTCAAAGTGTTTCACAGAATATACTGCAAAGTGAATTGACTGTATATTTGTGGGTGAAACGCAGCAGCCAATTGTGCACAGCAGTGTCCCACAAACAATCGTAGATTGAAGTGACCAATTTATTATTTTTTTGAGGGATTATTATCAGGAGTGTGGAGTAAAGAAACTTGCCCAAGGTTTTGCCCTGCCGGGAATTAAACCAGGTCTCTTGCTTGCGTGTGCTCCAACCACTGAGCTACAGGACTCCACACATTATCCCATAGAACCCCATATAACCCCAGAACACTCCATATTATGCCATACCACCCTATATCATCCCCGTATCTCCCAATATCACCACCACATCAACCCCATAACAGCCCCATGTAATCACCATATCACCCTCATATCACCACTACATCACTTCAATATCACTACACCCCAATATGACTACTGCATCACCTCATATCACAGAGTGGTTGCAGAGATTTTGGAGAGGGAGAGAGAACAGCCATATGTGTGGTTCATGTTGAAACCAATGACGCAGGAAAGAGTAGACTGCAGGTCCTACAGAGGGAATTTCAGGTTTTAAGAGGCAGATTAAAGAGCAGGATCTCAGGATTCCTCCTTGGGCTACATGCCAGTTAGTACACAAACAGGAAGAGAGTTAAAGGTGCGGTGGAGAATTGGTGTTGGAGGGTGGGGTTCAGATTCCTGGGACATTGGGCCAATTCTGGAGAAGGAATAACTTGTACAAGAGGGACAGGCCTTATCCGTGCAGGGCTGCCAGTGACACCAATGTCCTCGCTGGGAAGTTAACTATGGCTGTGGGTTGGGTTTAGTTCAGCAGGGGGAGGGAACAAAAAGCTGAGAGAATAGAAAACAATGAGGAAAAATGGGTAGAGAACTTGAAAAAGACAGGCTTTTTCAAGTGGAGAAAATAGGGGCAAGACAACGGAAGGTGAAAAAGAAAGTGTCAGGAAAACAAGCTACAAAACACAGGTGAGGAGAGAGCAAAGGAGACAGATTAAACTCTGTGTTTTGTAATGCTCTGAGCAGAATAGAATTGGGACTGTAGCGACAGGAGAAATACTGAACATCATGGGTAGATCAGAAACTTCCTGCAAACTGCTCAAAATTGGAAACTAACCAACAACAACAACAAATTTACATTCGTATAGGGCCTTTCACATCGGGAGGACGTCCCAAGGCACTGGACAGACAGATGCAAGCTGGGGGTCGGGAAGGGTGGAGGGTGGGGGGGGGAAGGAGGGAGATCAAAAGCATGGTCGAAGAGGAGGGTCTTGAGATGGGTCTTGAAGGTGGCAAGGGAGAGGGTGAGGTAGAGGGACTGCAGGATGGAGTTCTAGAGGGTGGGGGCAGAGTGACAGAAGGCCTGCTCGCCAATAGAAGTGCGAGTGAGGCAGGGGACATGAAGCAGGCTGGAACCTGCTGAGTGGAGGGGGTGAGCAGGATGGTAGGGGGTTAGGAGGTCACAGAGGTAGGGGGGAGCAAGACCATAGAGGGCTTTGAAAGTGAGGATCAGGATCTTGAACTCTATCCTCTGTCTGATGGGAAGCCAGTGGAGTCGGGCGAGGATGTGGGTGATAGGATGGGGGAGCCTAGTGCGGGAGAGGACACCGGCTTCAGAGATCTGGATGATCTAAAGCCTATGGAGGGAGGATCTGGGGAGGCCAGCAAGTAATGAGTTTGCAGTCAAGCAATGTAATGTAATGAAAGCATGTATGAGGGTTTCGGTTTCGGTGGCCTGGGGTGTGAGACAGTGACAGAGCTGGGCGATGTTCCGGAGGTGGGGGATTGGTGAGCGGGTTACGGCACAGATGTGGGGTAGAAAGGATAGTTGAGGGTCAAACAAGACACCAAGGTTCCGGACTGCTTAGCAAGGTGGAGTGTGCAACCATGGATGGTGATGGTATACATTAGCAGGTATAATACATTCAGGTGGGCTAGGGAGGGTAAAACTGGAGAAGGGGCAGCCTTGGTGAGCAAGGGCATGGAATTAGTTGGGGGAAAGAATATTTACAGGAAATATGTATAGAGTGAATCCCTGTGGGTTGAAATTACAGATAAAAAGGGATTAAAAAGTGTCACTATATGGGGGAAAGATGTTCAGGCCCTGGAGATGGTGCAGAGAAGATTCACGAGGGTGTTGTCTGAAATAAGGAAATACAGTAATAGGGAAGGCTTTTTCCATTGGAGCTCAGAAGGCTAAAACGGGTTATGATAGAGGTATTTAAAATGATGGGAGACTTAGATAAGGGAGAGATTATTTCCTGTGGTCTTGAACTAGAGGGCGTAATATTAGAATCAAAACTAGGAGGTCCAGATGGAGATTAGGAGGATCTTTTTAACACTGAGAGTGGTGGTAGTGTGGAATTCTCGGTTGGGTCGGCACATTGTAAACAAAACTGGACACATGGTTAAGAGAGAATAAAGGTGTGGTGGAGAATTGGATATGAGGAAAAGTCAGGATATTGGACTCGGGTTACAATCTAGGCACTTGTAATAGAATATATAAAAACCAGTCAGACTGAATGGCCTGTTTATGACCTGTACCTTATATGAATCTATAGATGTATTCAAGAGGAAGCCAGACTTTCACATGATGTAGTAGTGATGAGAAGGGTATAGGAGGGAGTAAGGAGTGGGTTGAGACACATGTGGGGTATAAACACTGGCACGGATTGGTTGGGCTAAATGGCCAGTTTCCATTGTATATACAATGTATGCAGAGTCCTGTAGCTCGGTCGCCTCGCAAGCAAGAGATCTGGGTTTGATGCCCTTCAGGGTGAAACGTTAGGATAGTTTCCTTACTCCACACACCTCTTGTTTACCTAGCAGTAGGTAGGAACCCGGTTGTTATTCGATTGATGGATCGCTTTACCAGGGGTAATAATTACTTAAAAGAAAAAAATTGCTAACTCAATCTCGACTGTTTGTGCTGTGTGCAATTGGCTGCCGCATTTCGCCCACAAAATATATAGTCAATTCACTTTACAGTATATTCTTTGAAGCACTTAGAGACGTGATAAGGTGCTATATCAAATGCAAGGATTATTATTATATCATCCCATGTCACACCCATAACAACATTACATCAGTCCGAGGGGAAGAGGTAGTGGTGGAAGTCTGCATTATTATTACATGTTTTTTACATATGTAATTATTATTACATATTACTTCTATATCATCATGTATCTCCCCTATATCACCCCAGTATTACCCCCTATATTGCCTGGATATCACCACAATATCAGCACTGGATCACCTGCTAATTATCCCTACATCACAACAAAAACAAGCAGTGGGGAGGTGGCTGTAAGCACAGTCAAAGAGGAAGGTTTTCGGGCAGAATTTGAAAAGGGGGAGAGGGGGGGCAAAGGCGGAGCAATTGAGTGTTCCAGAGATTCGGGACGTAGTGCCTGAAAGAACAATTTCCAATGTTGGGGTGGAGGGTTCAAGGGACGAGCAGGAGACTGGTGCCAGTCGAGCGGAGGAATGGGGAGTGAGGAGGTCGGTAAGAAGGTACCAGAGAGTGAAGGGATTTGAACACGAGTGTGAGGATCTCGAAGGATCACCCATGTATCACTCCAATATCACCCCTATATCAACCTCATATTGTCCCTTATCAGCCCCTCGGGATATTGTGCAGAAATTGAGAGCCTAAGAATACACATTCACTTCCCAAAATTGTGCTTGATTATATTTCAAATGTATGATTATTTTTATGAATTTATGTTGTGTATTTCCTAACAGTTTTTGTTTTATCATTACCCATAGGGTGGCCTCTATGTATTCAAACTATTTGACTACTATTCTGCCAGTGGAATGAGTCTTCTCTTCCTGGTCTTCTTTGAAACTATCTCGATATCTTGGTTTTATGGTAGGTGCCCAATTCTGTTAAAACAGTAAATTGTATCCAAACCAGGCTCTGAATGGTGAGCTCTGAATGTGATGGAGTCCTGTAGCTCATTGGTTAGAGCTGTCATCTTGCAAGCGGAGACCTGGGTTCAATTCCCGACAGGCCGAAACTTTGGGCAAGCTTCCTTACTCCACACGCCTCTGTTTACCCAGCAGTGAATAGGAACCGGTTGTTGGTCAGACACTGGCTGATCACACTGATGGCTGACCAAAAGAAGTGAGTGTTGCAAAATTTGACATCCAGTGTTAATATTAAGTGATTCCGTGTCAGGCACTGTGAAAGCCAGAGTGACAATTTGACCCAGCTGCTCATCAATAAAGCTATGTTCTTCAGCACTGACTCTTCATGTTACACACACAGAGAGGCACAAGGAAGCCATTCAGACCATTGAGTTTGTTCCACTAAGTTTATTAGATCTCAGCAGATCTTTTAATCCCAAATGTACTGCCCTTTCGCCATCCACCTTATATTCCCCAATCTTTGTCTCTTGTTTAAATATCTCTCTCCATTCCATCTCTCCAACAGTCTGGATAAACTGTTTAACATCCTCAGAACTCTGTGTGAACAAAAAACTGACAGCACTGAGTCCAGCCATTTTGCCCACTGAGTGTTTGCTGCTGGTTCTCTGTGTCACTATGGTGTAAATTCTGATGTTATTTTCCACAGGAGTTAACAAGTTCAATAAGAACATTGAGGAGATGATTGGGTACCAGCCATGCTTGTGGTGGAAGCTGTGTTGGGTTTACTTCACCCCAATGGTTGTCCTGGTAAGATTGTTTTCATCTAAATCCCTTTTCTGGAGAAGATTATTCTCCGGGGTGTTTTGCTTGTCAACAGAATGTTGAAATCGAGTCCACCCTCTGTGCTGGTCTCTACTTCAGTTCTTGATCCAGACGGGCCCACAGTACTGAATGAATCATAGAATATTACAGCACCAAAGGAGGCCATTCGGCCCATTGTGCCTGTGCCGACTCTTTGGAAGAGCTACCCAATCAGTCCCACTGCCCCACTCTTTCCCCATATCCTTGGAAATCTTTCCTTTTCATGTAGCTTTCCAATTCCCTTTTGAAAATTGTTATTCAATCTGTTTCCACCACCTTCAGGCAGTGCATTCCAGACCGTAACAACACTTGGTGTAAAAAAAATTCTCATCTCCCCTCTGGTTCTTTAGCCATTATCTTGTATCATGTATCCCCTGGTTACCGACCTACCTGCCAGTGGAAATAGTTTCTCCCTATCTACTCTTAAGAAAATCCCTCATAATTTTGAGCACCTCTATTAAATCTCCCCTTAACCTTCTCTGCTGTAAGGAGAACAACTCCAGCTTTTGTCATCTCTCCACATAAATAATGTCCCTCATCCCTGGTACCATTCTGGTAAATCCTCTCTATATCTTCTCCAAAGCATTGATATCCTTCCTAGAGTGTGATGCAGTTCGCCCAGCTCCACTGGCTTCCCATCCCCCAGAGTAGAGTTCAAAATTCTCACCCTCGCCTTCAAGGCCCTCTATGGCCTTGCTCCTCCCTACTTCTGCGACCTGCTGACTTCTTATCAACCTGTCCGCTCAGCAGGCTGTGGCTTGCTCCATGCCTCCCGTCTGGCCCGCCCCACCATCGGTAGTTGAGCCTTCAGCCTTTCTGCCCCTACCCTATGGAACTCCATCCCACATTCCCTTCACCTCACTCCCTCGCTTACCTCCTTCAAGTCACGTCTCCAAACCCTGCTCTTCGACCAAGCCTTCGGCCACCCTTCTACCCTCCCTGCCCTCCACCCTCCCTGATCCCCAACTCGGGTCTAAATCCCTGACTGTCCAATGCCTTGGGAATCCTCCCTACGTGAAATGTAATTGTATTGTTGATGTTGGGCTTTTTTTGTCTGCCGAGTGTCTTGACACATGTAGAAATCCATCTCCATACTAAAGAGTATCTAAACCAAACAGAGAGTTAAGGGCGTCCTACCTATTAAGTGACAAATGACATTCTGTCCATCTGCACCCAGAGCTCCCTCCGTCTCTTCATCCTCCTTGACCTCTCTGCTGCTTTCGAGACCATTGACAACTCTATCCTCATCCACCGCCTCTCCTCCCACTTCAAACTTCATGGCTCTGTCCTTGACTGGTTCAGATCATACCTCTCACACTGCCTCCACTTCATCTCCACAAACTGTTTCTCCTCTAGCCCCCACAAATCTCGTGTGGCTTTCCTCGGGGCTTTGTCTTTGGTCCCCTCCCCTTCAATATCTATATGCTCCCTCTTGCTGATATCATCCACAGACATGGGGTCAACTTCCACATGTATGCGGATGACACCCAACTGTATCTTTGTCTCCACCCTTGATTCCAGGACCACTGCTGTCCTGACAGAATGTCTGTCAGACATCAAGTCCTGGACGAGAGCCAACTTTCTTAAGTTGAACGTCAACAAGACCAAGGCTCTCCTGATTGGCTCCTGTCAGCACCTCCACACCTCAGGCACTGACAGCATCACCATCCATGGATGCACACTCCACCTTACTAAGCCAGTCCAGAACCTTGGCGTCTTGTTTGGCCCTCAACTGGCCCACTGTGCCTTCCCCCACCTCCGCAACATTGCCCATCTCCACCAATGTCTCACACCACAGGCCGCCGAAACCCTCATACACGCATTCATTACATTGAGGATTGACTATGGAAACTCCCTGCTTCTCGGCCTCCCCAATTCCTCCCTCCATAGGCTGCAGATCATCCAGAAGTCTGCAGGCCATGTCCTCTCCCGCACCAGGTTCCATAACCCTATCACCCCCATCCTCACCCGACTCCACTGGCTTCCCATCACACAGTTCAAGATCCTGGTCCTCACCTTTAAAGCCCTCCATGGTCTTGCTCCTCCCCTACCTCTGTGACCTCCTAACCATTCTGTCCGCTCCCTCCACTCAGCGAGCTCCGGGCTGCTTCACATCCCCCCACCTTGCCCACCCCACCATTGGGGGCATGGGCCTTCTGCCACTTTGCCCCCACCCTCTGGAACTCTATCCCGTAGTCCCTCTGTCTCGCCCCCTCCCTTGCCTCCTAGCTGTACAAATATCAAGAAAGCTTACCAGACAGTGCTATCAATGGCAAGGTTTTAGCTGGATAGACACCAGCAGTACCCCAACTCACATTCTGGGGTTCTTAAGCCTCGGCTCTTGCCAATCTGCACCTAATACTCTCTAGAATTAGTTCAGCAAGATCTCAACACCCTCCTCTTCGACCGTGCTTTCAATCATCCTACTTCCCCACCTGCCCTCCACCCTCCCCAATCCCGACCCCCAGCTCGGGTCTGAAACTCTGACTGTCCAGCACCTTGGTACATCCTCCTGACGTGAAAGGCGTAGTAGTGTTGTTGTTGTTATAGTATGCAAATTCCAGAGTGTTTATTGATTGATATGCACACTCTCTCCCTGGAGGGATGCATCCTGCTGAACTCATGAGCCTGATAATGGAATGGATTTATCTCTCAGTGTGTTTTTGTCTCTTCCTTTCAGGGAGTATTTCTCTTCAGTGCTGTCCAAATGACCCCCCTGACATTGGGTAAATATGTCTACCCCTTGTGGGGCCAGGGGGTGGGCTGGATCATGGCGCTCTCCTCCATGGTGCTTATCCCCGGTTACATGATCTACATGTTCTTTATGACCAGAGGAACCATCAAACAGGTACACCCCATTACTGACTGACTGTTAGTGATAGATACACCCCAATATTGACTGACTGCAATTCTTCTTTACTCAGAGGGAAATGATTGGAACAGGAAGGGTGGTTAAGGCCAGGACACTGGGACTAATTTAAGAACAAGTGTGATGTTTTGATAGGGGAATGTTTGGGTTGAGATTCTGAAAGGATCTGAATGGGGCTGAGATGGGCCAAAAGATTATCTTCACCTGAACCTCTCATATGATTATTTTTCATGATCGCAGTTGGGTTTTCTTACATTCCGATCTCTTGTCTCTCCACAGCGTTTGAAGGTGATGATGCAGTCCAGGCTGGATGCTCCCATGCATACCAATGGGCTGAAAAGCAACCTGTCTCTGACAGGAGGTGTGGCTGACGCTGCTGTGTAGCCAGTTACTTGGAAGCCCAGAGCACCGGTTACTTCTCATTTTGTCCTCGTCACCAGAAGCATGGTTTAGATTAGGTCTGATCCTGAGTTGAGCTGCTTGATAATACTTTAATTGGGTACAGGGGATAATTTTTTTTGATAAATCCCACCCATAAATGATAACTTTTTTTAAAAAAGGAATAAAATCACGACTTTGGATAGATTGAGCCAGGGTCACTCCACCCAATGAGGTTATCCTCAGATCCTGAACCTGCCCAGTCCACTTGATCTCCTGATATTCCTCACAGATATATCTGCAGTGCCAAAATCCATATACACAACATTCACTTCAGCGCTCTCTCCACCAAAGGCAGTCTGACTTGTGTGCTTTTATAAATTTAATGTCTATTTTTCTAATTTCCTCTATACTCCAACACCTTGGGACGTCCTCCCGACGTGAAAGGCGCTATACAAATGTAATGTTGTTGTTGTCGTACTGGCAACGCCTCTCTACCCCCGGCCTGGGATTCTCTCTGCCCCTGGCCTGGGATTCTCTCTGCCCCCGGCCTGGGATTCTCTCTGCCCCCGGCCTGGGATTCTCTCTGCCCCCGGCCTGGCTTTTCACTGGAGTTGAATTCCGTGGGAGCTGCTTGTCCTCCAGTAGCAGCCGGAGTGGCCATTATAGCTATTTGAGCCTTGACAGTGATCAACCTCGCTGTCTCTTTCACCCACTCCGATATATATACACATCAATATAGACACACACAACCAATAGAGGGCACTGCAGAGCGAGCAGGAACAGGGAAGGAGCCGTTGCTGGTTTCACTTACCCAAGCAGCTTTGAGCAGCAAACTCAGCACAGACTGGGATTCACACCAGTGAGCACGTGCTGCGTGAGCTGCAGCTCTGTCCACTCCAGTACTGCCTGGCCTCAGCGTGGCTTGCAAACCACTATAGTCGCACTCCCTGCAGCATATCCCTTTTAAGAATTAAAGAGCAATTATGAAAGAGCCAATGAGATAAAGACAGGAAGTACAAAAGGACACTGGGTGTAGAACAAATTGGCATCAGTGTATAGTTGGTGGTGTGTAGTTAGTAGATTGGAGGCTTTGAGTTGATAATAAAGAATCTTACTAACGTGCTTTGCATTAAGAATCATTACATCCTCTCATCTAAAGCAGCATTGAAACTATCATGCCCTTCACTCTCAATCCCTGACAAATGTATTAATTCTCATAATAAGCTGATTGTTCCACATATCTATATGTTTACAGGGAAGTTTTAATTTCTGAAGGCATATTTAGCCCTTTCGCTTTTATTTCTGTGCTTACAGTTTGATGTCTGTATTATCTGTATATCCTCTCAGCTCCTCCTTCATGGTTCTATCTTTGTCTATCTATCCCAACATCTCTACTTCATATCTGCCAGCGGCTTCTTCTCCTCCTGTCTGCACTGTGACATGCGGCGTTCCTCAGGGCTCTCTGTCTTCAGTCTTCTCTTTTAACAATTGCTCCTGTTTGATGATGTCACTCACAGGTTTGCAGGTTAACTTCCATATGTATGCAAATGACACCCAACTCTGTCTCTATCTCCACCCTCAACTCCAGGACCACTGCTGTCATGGCCAATTGCCTGTCAGGCATCAAGTTTTGGACGAGAGCTAAATCTCTCAACTGTCCGGTGCTTTGGGACTTTCTGACATGCAAGCCACTATATATATATGCGATTTCTTCTTGTTTGACTGGATGTCTCTCAGCATTTTAAAGACCAACAGTGACTGAGGGGGTGTGTCTCAGTGACAGCGGGTCTCAGTGACTGGTGTTAATAATTTGACAGGCGGTGGTAAGAGTATAATGTTTATTGTCTAAAACCAACAGCAAAGCTTACTATCCATACTTAACTTTATGACATACACTGTTATAATACTAAACACGACAAAGTATATAGATCAGGTAATACAAGGACGACAACACAAGCTCAGGCACCGTTCCGTACCCCCGACGAAACAGTAAACCTGTAACCACACTTCAACACACAGAAAAGATCAGCCCCTGGAAAAATCTCAGGTCCAACTGACTCTTGGGAATACCAACACTTCATAGAGACTGGTGCCAAGTAAACCGTCGGACCCAACCAGTTACACACAGCAATATTTAACCGACAATGGTTACACAAATCACAGAGTGGCTCCTGTAAACTTGACAGAAACAATCAGCGACTAACCCAGCACATCACTCGTACTGCCTAACCTGACTTTTGGGTTTCAAATGGACCAGCCACTACTACTGTTATTACTTCTCTGCCTAGCAAACAGAGCCAAAAACATACTACTCATTACTCCTCCTTTTCACTTTTCATGGTCACTTTCTTACTGGAAGTAAATTTCCTCCACCTGTACATATACATAGATACAGTAGAATTGATATTGATTCCACTAGGAAGCGTGCTGACCCTCTACACATCTCCAACTATTTCAAAGTTGCATCTTTCATGTGTTTCTTACTCCACCTCCCCTTGTCACAGAGATAGCCCCCATCCTTCATAGGCTGCTGTGCAGAGAGAGATATGAACAAATTCTGGGCAGCCTTCCACAGCCTGCTTGTTTCTCAGCTTTGAGATAGGCAAGTATCTGAGGCTGCAGCCTTTTCTTTCTGTGGTCCATTGTTCTTATATCTATGCTCAAGCACTCAATTGCTGATTATCTCAGAGGAGTGAACATCTTCCCAGGAAAATATAAAATGTAATCAGAAGCTAACCTCAGCCTGTCCAGCAAAGCTACTTTTACCCATTTAATTATCAAACCTTTTGGAACATTCGGTTGCTGTTTGAAATATATCAAGGCACCCTGATGATAGTCGGTATATTTCAACAATGACTTCAATGACTGTGGGGGATGTCTCAATGATTGGGAAGAGGGTCTCAGTGTTTGGGAGTGGTGTCCCAGTGACTGGTGGAGGGGGTGTCTCAGTGACTGGGGGGGGTCTCAGTGACTGGGGGGGGGGTCTCAGTGACTTGGGGTTGGGGGGTGTCTCACTGACTCAGGCCGGTTGTCTTAGTGACCTGGGGGTGTGTGTCTCAATGACTGGTGGGGAGAGGGGGGTCTCGGTGACTGGGGGAAGGGGTGTGTCTCAGTGACTGAGGGGAGGGGGGGCTGTCTCAGTGTTTGGGAGTGTGTGTCTCAGTGATGGGGGGTGGGGGTGGTGTTCCAATGACTGACGCCAGGTGTCTCAGTAAATGGGGGGGAAGAGTCTCAGTAACTGGGTGCGGTTTCTCAATGACTGAGGGGGAGGTGGTGTCTCAGTGAGGGGCGTGTGTTTCAGTGACTGGTGGGCTGTCTCAGTGAATAGGGGCGTGTCACAGTGACTGAGGAGAGAGGGTTGTCTCAGTGACTGGGAATGTGTGTCTCAGTGACTGGGGGGGGGTGGGGGTTGTCTCAGTGACTGGGAGAAGTTTCTCATGACTGAGGGGGAGGTGGTGTTACAGTGGGGCGGGGTGGAGTCTCAGTGACCGGGAGCGTGTCATAGTGACTGAGGGGGGGAGGGTGTATCTCAGTGACTGAGGGGATGTATCTCAGCTACTGGGGTAAGGTCTCAGTGACTGGGTGGGGTGTCTCAGTGACTGAGGCCAGGTGTGTCATGGGTGAGGGGGGGGTGTTGTCTCAGTGACGGGGGGTGGTCAGTGACTGGAGAGGGAGAGTTTTAGTGACGGGGGGGGGGGTTGTCTCAGTGACTGGGAGCGGTTTGTCAATGACTGAGGGGGGAGGTGGTATCTCAGTGGAGGGGGGGTTGGTGGGGGTGGTATCTCAGTGACTGGTGGGGTTTCTCAGTGAACGGGAGTGTGTCACAGTGTCTGAGTGACTGGGGGCATGTGTATCTCAGTGACTGGGGGAAGGTCTCAGTGACTGGGTAGGATGGGGGCATGGGTGTCTCAGTGACTGGGTGGGATGGGGGCATAGGTGTCTCAGTGACTGGGTGGGATGGGGGCATGGGTGTCTCAGTGCCTGGGGGTGGTGTCTCGGTGATGGGTGGTGTGTACCTCAGTTACTGGAAACATGTCTCTCAATGATTGGGAAGTGGGGGTGGTGTCCCAGTGACTGAGGCCGGGTAAATGAGGGCGGTTTCTCAGTGATGGGGTGGGGGTTCTCAGTGACTGGAGGGGGAAAGTTTTAGTGATGCAGGGTTCTCTCAATGACTGGCAGTGGTTTCTCAATGATTGAGGGGTAGGAAGTGTCTCAATGGTGGGTGTGGTGTCACAATGACTGGGAGGGGTATCTCAATGACTGCAGGGTGTTTCAGTGACTGGGGAGGGTCTCAGTGATGGGTGGGGTGTCTTAGTGACTGTTGGGGTGATGTCTGAATGACTAGACAGGGTATGGTGATGCTGACTCTTGACAGGGCGGGGGTGTCTCAGTGACTGGGGCGTGGGTGTATAAGTGACTGGGAGGGTGTCTCATTGACGGGGCGTCTCAGTGACGGGGAGGAGGGGGTTGTCTCAGTGACTGGGCTTGTGTGTCTCAGTCACTGGAAGGTGGGGGTCATGTCCCAGTGACGGAGGCCAGGTGTCTCAGTAAATGGGGGGGGAGAGGTTCTCAGTGATGGGGGGGGGGGGGGAAGAGTTTTAGTAACAGAGGGTTGTTTGAGTGACTGGGAGCGGTTTCTCAATGACTAAGGGTAAGGTGGTGTCTCTGGGGGTGTCACAGTGACTGGGGGGGGTGTATCTCAGCGACTGGGAGGTGGGGGTGCTGTCCCAGTGACTGAGGCCGGGTGTCTTAGTGACTGGGGGGGCTGAGGGTGCTCAGTGACTGGGGGCGGTTTCTCAATGACTGAGGGGGTGTGGTGTCTCATTGATGGGGGGGGTGGTGTATCTCAGTGACTGTGAGGGAAGGAGGTGGCGTCTCAATGCCGGGGTGGTGGGGGGACACGTCTCAGTGACTGGTGGTTGAGGGTGTTTCAGTGACGGTGGGCATGGGCAGTGTCACTGTGACTAGGGGGGGTGTGGGTGTCCTAGTGATGGTGAGCGGTGTCTCAGTGACTGGGGGCAGTCTCTCAAGGTGGGAGTGGTGTTTCAGTGACTGGGTGTATCTCAGTTATGCAGAGTGGGGGGTGGTGTCTCAGCGACTAAGGCTTGGTGTCTCAGTGCTGGGGTGGGAGGATGCGTATCAGTGACTGGGGGAGGGGGTGTCTCAGGGATGGGGGGGATCTCAGTGTCTGGGGGGGATCTCAGTGACTTGGGGGGGTGTCTTTGTGATGGGGGTGGTGTCTCAGTGACCGAGAATGGTTTCTCAGTGACTGGGGGGGCGGAGTGGTGTGTCAGTGACTGGGATGGGGGTGTCACTGTGACCGGGGGAAGAGGGTCTCAGTGACTGGGGGCAGTTTCTCAAGGACTGAGGTGGGAGTTGTGTCTCAGTCATTAGGTGAGTGTATCTCAGTGACTCAGATTGTGGGATGGTGTCTCAGTGACTGAGGCCAGGCGTCTCAGTGCTGGGGTGGGGTTTGAGTTTCAGCCTGACTTGGGGGAGTTCTCACTGTGACTGGGGGAAGGAGGTCTCAGTGGTTGGGGGGGTTCTCAGCGACTGGAGTGGTGGGGGGTCTCAGTGACTGGGTGGGTGTCTCAGTGACTGTGGGCGGTTTCTCAAGGACTGAGGTGTCTCAGGTGTCTGGTGTCTCAGTCACTGGGAGGGTGTATCTCAGTGCCGGGGTGGGGGGGTGCATCTCAGTAATGAGGGAGGGGGAGTGATGTCTCAGAGACGGTGGTCGGTAGCTCAGTGTCTGGGAGCGGTTTCTCAATGACTGGGGGGGAGTGGTGGGATGTGTCTCAGTGACTGGGTGTCTCAGTGGCTGGGGCAGGCGGGGAGCTGTTCCTTGATGGGCTGAAGGTGTCTCAGTGACTGGGAGCGGTTTCTCAATGACTGTGGTGGGGGATGTGTCTCATTGACTGAGGCCAGGTGTCTCAGTGACAGGGGAGAGGGGCATCTCAGTGACTGGAGTGGGAGTTTCTTAGTGATGGGGTGGGGGGAGTTGTCTCATTGACTGGGTGAGTGTCTCAGTGACTGGGTGGGTGTCTCAGTGACGGGGACGGGTGTCTCAGTGGCTGGGAGGTGTATCTCAGTGAATGGGGGAAGGTCTCCGTGACTGGGGGAG